GAAAGAAAGAAAGAAAGAAAGAAAGAAAGAAAGAAAGAAAGAAAGAAAGAAAAAAGAAAAAAAGAAAAGTCCACATTGGTCTCTGCCTTCCAGCTTCATGTGTAAAGTGCAAACAGTACTGTCCTTTCTGTCCTAGATAGTGGCATTTTTTTTTCTCCTCTGAAAGCTGTTTAAATAGGCTATCTTAAACATTAACTTGTAAATAAAATACAATACTTGCCACAATTATCCACCCCCCCCCCCATATTGAGAGCCTGTAGACACCACTCGGGGGTCCCACCCTCTCCTGAGATGCAATTTAAAAGCCTAGTAGAGTCTTTGAGAGACTCGCCATGAAATACCTGAAGTTCTTTCTTAAGAATCTGTGTTTCTCTGTGGCCAAGTCACTCCGTTGTTACAAACGCTGTGTGTAAGGTTACCAGATTGTCTGGCAGTCCATTTTTAACGAGGATGCTGCATGGTAAAGCCCTGAAAGCATGAATATGAGTGCTCAAACTGCTTAAAATATTTTGTAACCATAAATTATTATCCAAAAATATTTTTCAAGTAGATAAAAAGAGTTGTCAATTCTGCCTAGTGAATGCCTCATAAGGGGCTCGTTTGTGGTTGAAAACTGAATAAAAGCAGTAAATTAAGACCAGACTTAACCAGAGAGAAACTGTAATCCGCTGCAGATTCTCTTGCTGAATGAAGTATTGTTACGTGAAGTTATCCTCTTTGCTTGTGCTGTTAACGGGCCACATCTGTGGCCGAAAGGCTGTCTCTGCTCCCAGGGAGAGAGGCTCCTGAAGCCTGAGGACAGTGCTGATTTGTGATGACGGTGATAAGTATGGGATAAAGAAAACTACCCCACAGAGCTGCCTGAGAGGGCAGAGGGTGTGAGGGATCTGAGCTATTGTTCTGAGGAGCAAGGGCCACCAGGCAGGTCGTGGGCCCCTGAGAGACTGGCGGTGTGGGTTGTCTCATGGTCAAGACAGTGCAAAGGACCAAGAAAGGCAAGCCAAGAAAGGCAAGCTATGAAGCTCCGGAAGGAGCCTCTGGGCTTGTGTCTGTGATGAGAGCCGACTGAAATATGGTGAATGTCAAAGGCTCATCGCTCACTGTAAATGTTCAATGTCAGGAATTTAAATCGTTTACAGACATCGAAGCCCTTGGTGATTATTTTATCCAGAGCTGTTGATTTTCCTCTGTTTGTCAGCAGTCACCAACATTAATGAGTAATTCTCCGGAAGTCTTGACAACGAGCCTGTTTAGTCTTAAGTACAGGTGGGTTCTTTTGTTTTCTGTGATAACATGTCAATAAAATAACTGATTTGGCTTTTTGTAAATTAAACTGTAGGAAGGCAAACAAGATATCTCTCTTTTTTTTTTTAGAGTCTATTTACCCCCACAAGGATATTAATTTTGGTTTTTCCCAGGAGCCTTGTAAATGCTCTGCCCCTATGTTTTAGAAAACCTTGTCACATTGGAGTCCAAAAGAAAATTCTTTCATGAAGCTTATTTTAAGAATAGTTATTTTTCATTATTTAAGAGAACTCCTTATCTTTCTAATTCATTCTAGTACACATATTTTATAAGAGAAAAGAGGAGAGATTGTTGTATAAAGATATAGAACTTAGATTCTAGAGCCCAAAGCCTTTAAAAACAGCATATCCACCTATCTATTTTCTATATATTTAGCTAGCTAGCTATTTATATATCATCACCTGTCTTTCTCTTTTAAAGTTTAGATTTGCAAGAAAAAAATTATTCTTGAACATAAGTGGCTATTTACACCTTAAGTTTATAAACCAATGTGGGAAGTTTGGACTTTTAACACGCTACTGGGCTTGCAGGTAAAACTCTTTTTATTGGGATTTTTTTTTTTAAGAATAGAATTTCACTTTTTCTCTGCGTGAAAATATTTAGGCTAATGAACTCTCTGTCATATTCCACAGTTCTATGGAAGTATAAACTAGGTTACCCACCAATGAACAGAGCAGTGGGACTTGGGGTAACACATGTCTTAAAAATGTATGCGATAGATTGATTTGATTCCTGAATAAAGTTTACAATCACCATCTCCATCTTGGTTATTTAATTAAAAATAACCAAGACATGATTGAACTTATCACATCTGTACAAAGAAATCTGTTTCTGAAGAAAGCACAATTAAAAAAACAAACAAACAAACAAACAAACAAATACCTTAGAGTTACATGTGTATTTCTGATACCACTAAGACTCTTCCTTTTACATAGATAATGAGTCACGAGCTTAAGTGGGTAGAGGTTTAACTGAGACTATCTACAAATGCTTCATAGGTTCCAGAATATGACAACAGCATTTTTTTCAATCAACTGCAGCTTTAAAATTATACCTGCCCACCCATGCTCACATGCCCACATCTACAGGAACCCACATCTGCACACTTTATATATGGAGAAAACCTGCTGAAATTGACACTAGTAACTAAATGGCTGCCTCTGTGCTTTGGAGTTGTGTTGTCTAAAATTGTTGCAGGTTGATGAAAATAACAATTTATTTCTACCATTTGCATAGCTTCTGCATGTCACAGCAAGTTAACAAAGTAATGACTTATTCTTAAAAGAAAAAGTGCTCGTTAGCATTTTGTGAGTCCCTGTTGTGTATCGGGTCCCTTCCATGTTATGAAAAGGTTGTGGATCCACTTACTGTAGCTCATCAAAAGTGTAAAGGTGACAGGTGAAATCCTCTTTGTTGTGGGCGCTGAGAAATAATCGCTTAAAGGTCAGTTTGCACTGGAAAAAGAACATTTGTTTAATAAGTAACTCATTTTGGGATATGCTGCACTTTTAAAGGTTACACAACAGACCAAGTTGCCAGCGATGGCAGCGAGAAGTATATTAAACTCGTTGGTGCTATTAAAAAAAAATGCTTTGTTTGATTCAAATTTCCACACATTCTCATATAGCCCACAGACGTTCCAAGGGGTCCAAGCTAGCGGAAGAGAGATGGCTCATTTGGGTGAGTGTTTGGTGTACAAATATGAAGTTCTGAGTTCAAATTCCCATAAAGAGAATATGAAAAGAGCTAAGCAAGGCTGTATGATGGGGTTAACCCCAACTTGAAGGGAAGAGGAGCGGGTGGGTCCTGGGAGGTTGTTGTTGAGGCAGCCTGGCCAAAACAGGGAGCTTCCAATTCAGAGAGACGAGCCCTCTCAAAGAACAGGCTACTGAGCCACAGCGGAAGACAACTCTGGCGTCTGTGCACATGCTCAGGCTCATCCAGCTGCACACTCCCAAGCGTTCACAACAGACACACACACACATAACACACACAGCCGAAACTACCCATACTGTGGGTTCAAAGACCATTGACTTACACCTCACCTGTGTTCTCAGTTGCTGAAAACAACACAAATGCAGAGACAAGTGTGAGAGGATATGAAGAGACAACTGTGGACACAGACGCGCACACTCGCGCACGCATCGCGGACACCCTATTTGTTCCATTCCTTCGGGTTTATTGTTTTACAAGGATGTCCGTGTCACGGGTTGCACTTTTCTCCTTGAGTTTCCTAACACCGTGTAACAAAAACTGTCTTGCTACCAAGCCCTCTATGAAAAGAAAAAATTATTGATTCAGCTATCTAAACAAGAGCTATTGATTTATCTTTTCCTATTCCAAGACCAACTTCCCTCCCTGCCTTCTCCTGGAAAAAAAAAAAAAAAAAAGACAAAAAGAATTTGATTTGGCAATGAAATGGAAAGTTAATCTGATATGTAGACAAAAGAGAAACAATAAAAGAAAAATGGAAAAAGGGCAAAAATCTTTTAATCCTAGAAATTAAAAAAATCTGAATAAAAGTGGTAGTTTATTTAATACAACTGTGTACTATTAAAATATTTTTTTTTTTGCCTTTAGGGATATGATGTACCACAAATAAAAGCTGTTTAGCTGTTTTTATATTTAGCCTTTTATTTTGTCTTTGTGAAGCAATGTTTTAAAGCTGTAATAATTTTCTCTAGAGCATTAGCTCATTGCTTGAGATAAGTATATGAAGAAAATAACTCTAAGAAAAACCTTCTGATCATTTGATTGCTTATGAGTTACAGTTTGTTTGTTGTTTTTTTTTTTTCCTTTACACATCCGTTGCTAAGCTCCCCTGTTAAAATATTATCTTGGTGGCAAATTATAAGTCCTCAGATTTTTATAATGAGTTGATTTTTAACACACAATGAGTTGTCTGTTTAATTACAACAGGAAAACAATACATTTTCAAGAAAGTGCCTGAGATTCCCTATTTAGATAAAAGGAGCTGGAAAGCTCAAAATACTCAGCCTATTGTGAGGTTTAAAAAAAAAAAAAACTATACTGCTGTCTGAGTCATTTGCAATTAGAAAAGAATGTGACACTCTCATTTCAAGCAACTTGGCTACGAATCGAGTTATTCCTTTAATTTGACTTGCTGTTCATTTGAGAGAGGGCAAATCTATTTCCTGGGCAATTTTGCAAAGCAAAGATATTAATACTTTGGAGCTTAATTGTATCCTGTGTTTAAATACACCGTGGGTGAAACTCAGACCTCCGCTTAATTGCTGTGAGAAACAGCCTGATTTCTTCAAGATTAGGCACACGCTCCGGTGTTCTTTGACCTCAGAGTACCTCCTTCAGAATTAATCTTCTAAGGTAATAGGATGTTTTTCTGTGTGCTGCAGGGCCATTCGTGACAAACGAGGATGACTTAATAAACTAACTTCAGCCTTCTGAGCCTTTGCTGTCAATGTTTCTCATCTTTTCGTTTCATACATCTCTTGTCCAGCAGCTTATTAGTAAATAACCCTAAACTTGGCAGGGGGACTCATTTTAATGGCATCTTTTTTAATTAGAAGACTTTGAAATTTAAATTGGGCTGCTTCAGAAATAAGTCAATAAAAGAAAACTTTCACTTTTACTAATGAAACATGAAGTGCTCAGAAGAACTCCATTCAAGTTAAGTCCACGGCCCTTTGAAAAGACAAACAATTCATATTTACTTAAAAATTTTGCTCCGCAGCTGTATTTTGTTGAGTTCATCTCATGTACAAAAGAGCTTCTGCTTTCCCATCAGCCCCATCAGGATTGTTTTCATAAGATGTAACAGAATGTTCTGGTTCTAAAATATTTATATTAATCAAAGTTTGGGCTGTTTATATTTTTTGGCAATAGACCTTTTCTTTTAAAGTGATGCTCTTGCATTTAACTAAACAAAAGTGTTGAAACCGCCTGTCATATAAATTTCAACACGGTACAGTTGGCTCTGGAAATGTGAAGGCAGGACCAAAGGGGAGCTGTAGGTGAAACATGGCTTAGTGGAAAGTGTGACACTGGTGAATTCCAGGATTCATCTGTGAAAATGTCCTCACCATCACCCCCTCTTACAAACCCTAACATTGTGGGTGATGGTGGCATACACTTTTAATCAGGGGGAAAGCAGAGGCAGACAGATCTCTGCGTTTGGGGCCAGCCTGGTGTACAGAGTGAGTTCCAGAACAGTCAGAGCTACGCAGAGAAACCCTGTCTTGAAAAGCAATACAAAACAGAACGAAACCCCAGAGTTACCTGGCAGAAAAGTTTGTGTTCAAGTTTCTGTCTCTGTGTTCTTGGGGTACTGGGAATTTTCAGTTAAGAGCTAACCAAAAATGAAAGCACATAAATAAGTCAATTAATTTTAAATGTTATTGTTTATAATTCTAACTCTTTTAGGAATGATGAAGATAACTTTATGTTATTTACCAGTTTCTTGTATTTGAGAGCAGAAGTAACTCAAACAAAAATACCATATTTTTTTATTTTGTTACAGTTTGTTAAACTATAAAAATACACTAGGCTAGTTTGACTCAGGAAAAATACCTTTACCAAATGTATTTATCTTTTGCTTATTTATTTTTATAGCACACTGTTTTTTGTCCTTTTTTGTGTGTGTGTGTGTGTGTGAGTGTGTGTGTATGTGTAGGCATGTGAAGGTCAGAGGACAGTCAAGTCAACCCACCCATTGGAGTCAGTCTCTTCCTTCTACCATGAGGCTCCCGAGATAGAACTCAGGGCATCAGTACTGGTCCTAAGTGTGTTTACGTACTGAGCCACCTCTCCAGCCTTACCAAAGTCGCTTTAAATAGCAAGCTAGCCTTCATTAGATCATAACTATTATATTTAATTGTCTTGCAGTGAAATAACAACAAATATTTGAGGAGTTTATTTATTTACTTAAATCTTTTGTTGTTTTTGAGACGGGGTCTCACTATGTAACCCAGAGCTCGCGATGAATATACGAACCAGGCTGGCCTTGAACTCACAGAGATCCACCTGCTGCCAAAGTTACCCAGGGCCTGATATCAGACAGTTTTGCGTCTATGGACGTGTTGGGGATGCTTAGTTCTTGTTGCTGTTACTTTCCCTCAGTATTGAATTATGTTGAGACACTTCCATAGGAAATAACCCTCCACAGAAAGGCAAGGACTGGAGACTGAGCCGGTAACAAAGGAGTTTTTGTGTGCTTTTCTTTCAGGAGATAATACAATATGTTCATATCTGAAAAATGGGAAATATTACATGGGACAGCAGGAGGGGGCTACAGGTCTTCTGTTTGAACGTTCAACCCATCTCAATCCTCGGTCCTTCCTCGCTTTGTTTAACTCGACGTTAAGTCTTGACCAACATTTGACTCTGAGTGCACATTTTTTGATACCACTTTCAGAAGTGGCTAGGGATTGTAGTGCTTGCTTTTTCATTCAGGGTTGGGACAGAAATACACAACAGTGGCTTCAGGCTAGTACCCAACAGATGGTCTTTTAATGACCTGGTCAGGCTAATTCATTCCTTTGGTCTTTAGCATAACAACTCCTGATTTCAAACTTGTGTTAAAATAACCACTGTGCACACATATGCGCATTCATAAACACGCTGAAGGGAGAAAATGTGCTTTAGCAGAGGAGGGGAAACCGTGCTTTTTCTAATGATCACAATCATAAGCTAAACTGGTTCGGGGACAAAACAGGTCAGGCTATCATCAACACGAAATTTACATTTCTAAATTGATTCACCTTTTTATCCTATCAGCTAAATCCACTGATAATAAATATGATTCTGTCATGTTATATTATTATGGACTATTATTAATATTTTGCTTCCAATTTTATGTGATGTTAGTATAACCTACATCTATGCATTGGCCTGGGCAGGGATTTCCGGGAGACAAGTAAGGGTAGGGAGTCCAGTGCACAAAAAGAAGAAAACATGTCTATACCCTTTGTCCGTTTGCAAACAGAGGTAAATTGGACCACTTCTGCTGTGTGCCTTCTCACTTTCTTTGAAGTCAGAGGAACCCGGGAGAGCTCAGGCTGAGAATGTGATTTCAGAGGATAAAAATTAATATCATCAGGTCAGAGTCTCATACCCAGATTTTATGCCACATTAACCATTGGCTCTCCTTTAATGTGGAAACACTCATTACCTTTTTAACCTCCTGGTTGAATCCCGGATCACAAATGCAATTTCTAATAATATATTGGGGATTTTTCTCAGGTGTGTTTATTTAGACTTTATGAAGTTAGATCCACAATTTAGCATTAAAAATATTTTTTAAAGGATTTGTTTTCCTTTGAAGAAAAGCTGAAAATGTTCAGACTCATGTTGTGCTTATAGGTAAGTGTAGACCAATGGCTCTCAGCCTTCCTAATGCTTCAACCCTTTAATGCAGTTCCCCGTGTGGCAGGGCCT